CCCCCCCCCCCCCCCCCCCCCCTCCCCCTCGCCCGAGTTTTCCACCCTGGACATAAACGGATAAAAGATGGGGGAGGGGGAGGGGCGATGACTCTTTCCCCCCTCCTCTCCCCCTCTCCCTCAAACTGTAAATAAGTGACCTAACAGATTCCCGTTTCTCCTCAAACCTACTTCAAAACAGTCACATCTGCCACTACACAGTGTGGGTGAATCTGTGACTCATTCTAATGGCAAACTGCTACAAATATACCTATGCGTACCAAAAATTTACATTCAGTTTAAGATTCCAATTTTTCAAGTTTCGAGGCAAATGAAAACCTCAACGTTATCTTTTGTATCGTCCTTCTTAAGTCTGCGAAATGAAGCGATAAACTGCGACCGTTAGAAGGTCGAACCGTAGTCTTGAAAGTGCAGGCCCAAAGAAATCGAAATGTGGAGCAACCGGAGACAGAAAGTTAAAACGAAGAGTGGAATAAGATTGTTAAAAAAATTTGCGGCTGTCGGTAGGCCGAACCGCAAAAAAAAAACTTCGACCCCACTCATCATATTTTTATCCATCATTCTCCAGCAATTTTCACATTTTTTCGGCACAAAAGTAAGGTCACGCTAACACCCATAAAACATTCAACTATCCCCAACCACCTCATCTTCCTCACAGCCTCGAAAAACTTTTAACCTCCTGCACTTCAGATATAACTTTAATCAGTCGCAGTTACACAATGCTGAAAGTGTTTTGGCAAGCCGCAAACGCCATGATATAAACAGTATGTCTCTCGCGAAAGACATGGAACTTTTCTGCAAATCGTTCGTTCAAACACAATTTCACTCAAAATTTCACTTACTTTTTTCGATGACTTTTTCTCCTCTTTTTCCTTTTTCACATCTTTTTCATCTTTCTCGACTGCCTTTTCATCTTCTTTGGGTGTGGGCATCAACTTCTCTGTCATGACAATCATTCGTTCACCCATTCGACGGAATTCTTGGATAGCAGTCTTCATCTGTACGGTATCATCCACAGAGTTCTGCAAATA